CTCCACCTCAGAGTAGGCTTGGAGTTTTGAGGAGCGTCGTCGCAACCCTGCTGTGTGGATCACCGCTAGAGAGGAGGACGCTTGGCCTCCTTCACCCTCTCCTAAGGATCTGCAAGGAAACAGGGATATACGATCTCCCTAGGTAACACAATCTCTATACGCAGTTTTGTGTTTTGCGGATTTTTGCGCACCAATCTTCGCACGACGACGAACATCTTTTTGGGAATGGGGGATTTTTGTTTTCTTGTTCTTCCGCTGCGCATATGATGTCGCCCCCAATGATTTCCCAACATAGACCCCAAGAGGATTCAAATTTGGGCTCCAAATTTTGAATTCTCTTGGATTTCCAAGGTTGGCGGTGCCACCGCCAGACCTCTCGGGTGCTGGGCAGTGCCACCGCTCAGTCCGGCGGTGCCACCGCTCAATTCTCGGGTTCTAGGCGGTGCCACCGCCTACACTATTTCAGCTCACTGGTTGGGCTCCAAACTTGGCCGAAACCAGTCCGAAATCGGGCCCAATTGGCCCCTACTTGGGTTATAGGATTAACACCTAATCCTAACCCTAATTAATGTGCTAAATATGAATTTAAGGACATTTCCTAAGCTATTACAAAGTCCGCAAGTCAAGACTTCTTCCGACGAGCTTTCGATAAACTTATGGCGGTCTTCCGATAAACTCTCAGAAACCATTCTATGGACTTCCGGCAAGCTCCTAGACTTCACGATTTGATCTTGGCGAGTTTCAACGAGCTTCTTCGGCAAGCTCCGATCTTTCTCGGTGAGCTCCGTGAACTTCCAACGAACCTTCCGGCAAGCTTCCAAAAAACCCTTCGGCAAGCTCCCTACTCATTCTCGGCTAGTTCCGGCAGCATTCCCAACGAATCTTCGGACTTCCGTCGAACTCTCGAACTCGCAACGAATCCTTCACGCTTGACTCCGACATTTTGTTTCGTTTTATGTCTTCGTCGTTATCGTAGTTAATCCTGCACACACAAGCCAAAACTGTACTCCGATCTAGACATTCTATTGCCCGGCACGTCATTGGTTGGCGCATCGTCCGATTCTTCGGCGCATCGTCCTCTCTTGCGGCTTGTTTCCCAATCGGTGGTTGACCTCCGCAACCCCGATATCCTTGGCGCAATTCCGCTCTTGGCCCGATGCCCGACGTCCGAAGCCTTCTGCCATCCAATATCCTAACGTGATCTCCTCCGACGCAACATCAATTCCTCTTGCGTTAACTATCTAAACCTGATCGAGTAGACCTGCATCACTCAAAATGCAGTTAAACATCTAAACACAATCAATTAGTTTCATCATCAAAATCCGAGATTCAACAGATGTAGGTCACGACGACCGAACCACTATAAAATCTAGTTTGCATTTATGCTTTGCTATTTACATTTATTGCAAACTGCCTTACTTGCTTAACTTTCACATTACACTCTTCTATTTGTTTTCAAAGTTAATATCTTTCCGAAACGATTTTTATCGTACGAAGATTTTCGAACCGACTCGTTTTTATCCATTGCACTAATTCTTAGTGCCGACTCGTTCTTATCCATTGCACTAAGAGAGCTGGATAGTGTTATTTTTATATACTAGTGAGCCATGAACATCATATTATATATATATATATATATATATATATATATATATACATTAAAGAATATAAAATAAAAAAATATCATAATAATAATAAGCAAAAAGACTATATGTCATATCACACATGTCATCACTCATGTAGTTGGCTTGCAAAGCATTTATAACTAGCAAAAATGATATACAACATACTGAAAGCTTCATAATTGTGTCAGATATGTGTTTGGATTATTAATATCTTAATCGAGGTCTTTTTGAGTCAAATTGAGTTAGTATTGGACCGAAATTATGCTAACTTGTCAAGAAATCCATTAGGCTTGTTAGAAGGTCAAATCAGTAACCTAAAGCAGGTCTGAGCAATGGTACTGCCAAGCCTAAGTAGTAGTACTGCTTAAGTTAGCCAAAAAGCACAATTTATGCTTTTTTGACAGTTTCGACGATAATACCGCCTAGACCGATGGTGGTACCACCAGAGCCTGGATTATTGGCCTCGTGATGACGATAGTACTGTTCGATGCCGATGGTAGTACCGTCAATACTCCGAAATTTCAAGGATTTAAATTTTTTGCTATATTCTTGAAGCCTTTTAGGGTCTATAAATGTCTCCCTCATGCTTGCTTGATGGGGTACTAATTCTTGAGCATAAAAGTATTGTAAACTCTCTCTTTGAGTATTGTTTGAGTTTCTTCCTCCTTGAGTTTAAATATGATTCTAAATTGTAGAAGATGGGGTCTTTTAAAATAGAGTGAGTATGAAGGTTCTCTACTAAGCCTGTTAAAAGGAGAATAGTTATAATAAGAGTAGTTGATTTTTGCCAAATGGAAAGAAGATTAATAGTGAAAGCCGATGGCCTTATAAAAAGATTAATTAGGAGTGAACGTAGGTCAAGATGACCGAACTACTATAAATCGGTTTGTATTTCTTCTCTTGCCTTGATTTGCTATTGTTTACTGATTTACTTTACTTGCAACCCTTGTACTTTTGGTTAATCGCATTTTCGATATGAATTTATTGATCAAATTTTAAAATCAATTAAAATTGCTAGAGCACTAATTCACCTCTCCCCTAGTGCCATTACGATCCTAATAAGTTCTTTCATTAAAGTGTCAGCTAATGACTTAGTAGTATATTTAAATTAATATTTAAATATTCTAATGTATTAGTTGTAGACTATAATTAAGTCTAAATATTATTAGCAAGTATCATAAAACTAAGTCTTTTAGACTTTTTTATGATTAGTTATCTCAATTGTTTGTTTTACATAACTTTTAGTAATTAAGCCTATCCTCAAGTATACCTTCAGTAGTTATCTTCACTAATCTGATCAAGGTCTAATACACCAAATACAAATTACATATGCTCAAGTCATTTAATTCAGAAAATATAGGGATATTTATAAGAATACAATAAAGGACATATCACTATGATAATATAATATTAATGCTTTAAGTTCTTCAATAAATATTGAACTATTGTTATAATCTCTATTTCATTTTGGGTGAAATATTGGCATAGTTAGTGTTCATATAAAATTATTTATGAATGACTTATACCATCGTCATGAAATAATATTGTTACCTTTGGGAATACAACCCTAAACTGTAAGGGTATCAAAAATAGTATTATTCTACCATATCACATAATTATTCAAAATAGATTCTCCTTTGGGATTATCTAAATCTCCTAATCATGAATGATATTTTGAATATTATTTTTTAATTTTATTTAGGACTAATTCTTTAATATAATTTTATAAGTTATTGTTCCAAATCACTTTGGTGGCTACATAACCAAATTTAAAATATCATATAAATGATAAGATTTTTATTGTAATTCACATCCCATAAGTCTACTATCTCAGGTTATGAAAGGATATTTGTACCCTCAATGATGTAGCGATTGTGCAGTGTCAATGTGTACAATGATTGCAGCAACATTGCTGCTACTGATTGTAGTAGTTGTGATAGCATCGCTGCTAGAAGCCAACGTCAATTGGATGCCGGCAACCGCATGTAGGTGGCGATTGCACCACGCGCAATGGCTGTGATTGGTAGCTACAACACCTTGCATAGTGGTTATGGGTGACAGTCGTGTCATGTGCAAACGATGATTGTTGCGATTTACATTACAACAATGACGCATTACGTAGTGGCTGTAGTGCCTCGCCCAAGTGGCGGTCGCACACTACAGCGATCATGACCCTCTCAAGTGGCGACCACCCTCGATGACACTATCACCAATAACAAACTATCGATAGTGATCTATCAATCAAACATAAGAAACCTTACATCATCTGCAAGCACGTGATAAGATAAATTGAATAGAAAAACATATCGACAATACTAACGAATCCTTTATGCATCATAAATAAAAACATCTAACACTATTTTGCAAGTGAAAGATGTTAACAAATAGATCAAAAGTATCTAATTTTAAAACTATAACTTTGATACCAATTGTAAGCATAAAAACATAATATGCTATTATTAAGTGAAAGGATTTTAATGTCAAAAATCTGAAATTAAATAAAATATATAT